TGTGCCACTCCCCACGATCCCGTGCCAATCTCATCCAGGTTCGCCCCCCAATTCCTGCGATGTCATCCGCCCATCTCGCCGCTGGACGCCCGACGTTCCTGTATCCAGTCCTTAGACGTCACTCAGTTATCTCCTTACTCCATCTGTCTGCCCAGCTCCACTTTAGCTTCGTGATGCGGTTCCCCACGTCCTTTACCTTAGTTCGACTTCGGATCTGGACATTGGGAACACGGTCTATAAGCTTGATACCGTAGTTTTTAATATTATTGGGATCGTATTATGTATATTTTAATTACCATACAAGTACAAATCGATACGCACTTAATTTATTAATTTTAAAATTACTGAATTTTAAAATGGTATCAAAACAAAAAACGACAAAAAATGTACGATTCGAATATAAACGCAAACGAATATTTACTACGGATATCTAAGCTCTCTCCCAGCGTTTAGCATTACCAATTCGCGGCTCATTGAATCCAAATTGGGCTTGGCTTTGTGAAATCCCTTTTCTCCCTTTTTCATTTTTACGAGTGTTGCCTTGGCGCTAGGTTACTAATTAACTCCGTTTAACCTCCCCTTGTCATTAAATTATAGCCTTGGTATCCAATAAGAGTTAGTCAAATTTAAATATAAATGAATTGGTCGTTGCGGCATAAACTAACATGGGTATATATCGCTAAAGTTGTCTTTAACCTTTAACCTATAATTGATAAAATTTTGAATCACAAATAATTAAGTAAATTAGTTATATGCAACTATTGCAAAACGAATACATGTTACTACTATTTTTGGAGGATAATTTGGGTATAGGTAATCAATCAAGAAACCTCTTAGAAATCCAAATAGTTATAACATTACAATTTATAAGTCGTGCCGAATAATAGAATTTTTGTAAATAACAAAAGACTTTCAAATACAGATTAAATCTATTGATGTGTAGGTACATTTAGAGTATAGCCACAAAATGTGAATGACTCATCTAATATTGACGACGGATCTTTCATTTGCACTTAAATAAATATGCGTTGGCACGGCTGTACAATTATAAACATCAATAATTATAAGCACTTATTATTGTTATAAAAATCTGTAACGGCGTAGATAGATATAAAACACTGACTTAGAATGAGTATCAGAACAGTATGTTCAAAAGTATCACTTTAGGTATAATGTGCCAATTTTAATTCTATTTAAATAACGTAACGTAAAAACTACAACATTAAATTTTGACTTGTAAAAGAGTTCGTCCAGAGAAATACTGCCACCTTACATATTTCTGCCGCCAAGATATCGCTCTTAGATAAATAAATAAGTAGTGTTTTTATCAGTAATCACCAAAGTAGCGATGCAACAGCAATCGATAGATTTTAAAAAAAGGTAAAATTTTAGAATACCCGCATTTTGTCAATCCCACAAAATGCCCAATCGAGTTGAAATTCTCCGCAATTTGGGGAATTCGCAACAAATTACCCATTTATTTTGAGCAATTTATCTATGAAGAATAATATCAATAACAAAAGAGGAAATGTAATAAAAAAATACATTTGTCATATTGTAACATTTTTATTTTCATACTTTTAGCAAAAAACGTACTCCAGACAAAAACGGTTTCTTTTCATGTTTTTTCATTGTTTTTTTTTTCACCTCAGAAAAAAAACGTTAAAGTTTTTTTTAAATAACACTAACCGTAGGTACCTCTTTCTGTCGCCCAGTAGTAATATCAGCGTTACTGTATTCCGGTTTTGAAGGGTAAGGATGCTGGTAAAATTACAGACACATAGGACTTGTCAATTTAAGTCTCAGGGTGAATGGCGCTATGGTAGTGCCCACGGAAGAAAGAAATTTATGTGGTCTGTGGTAGTGCCCCTCAGATCTTTGCAATTTAAAGCTCTGGTAGCACTGTAACTGTTATGGACAGACGTGTAGCTTATCATCAGACACACGACTTGTTCGTCCCTTCACTTGATGTTGTAAAAAGTACTTATTCCACGCAGACGAAGTCGCGGGCACCCGCTAGTTAACTATAGTTCGGTAAAATTAGTTAATATTTATGTACAACTAATCACAAGCTGAAACTATAGATGCATCATTATTGCTAGAATAAAAAAAATTGTACCAAAAGAACTTTCAACATAAAAACAGTATTTTTCCTATGTCTCATGTCGAAATATAACAAGCGGATGAAAGGTTATAACAAAATAAAGAGGCAAGCTTCGCGAAGGATAAACAAACAGGAGCAGTCAATCACTAGCTCCATCCTTAATGGAAAATGATAATGTAGCGATCGCGCACGCTGCACGCACTGCTGCTGTGTACATTTCTCCTTTAATGTCGTATGATTAAACATGAACCGAGGACTTTATCAAATTTTGGCACGCGTTTGCTCATCGGGGTCGGGATGCAAGGTGTTTGCATACTAGGGATGTCGATTCTCCATGAAAAAATGGATCACAGAAGCGAAGGCAGAAGATACGATACCATGATAAGTTAACAAGCGTTTCTGAATATGAAATCTTCTATAAAGTGATGCAGTGGTTCAATTCCTATTGAAAGTTTGATGGAGATGCGCTCAAAGTTACGTAATAGGTACGAGTACCTTTTACTCTAGCAACACACTAGACCGAATATAATTGCTTGGTGGCTTTGCTTTGCATTCCCTTTGGTAGAATTGACTTGTACTAACATACTAATTATTGGTACTCACTTTTTCACATAGGGGTAAGCAGAAACCACTGCCTTCCACATGCTGCGATCACATCTTTTGCCTCGTTAACGATTAAGGATACTTTGAATTTGGCCTTTCCAGCATATTTGCAAAATAATAAACAATTGGTAGAAGAAGTAAAACAAGAGGCGGTACTAAAATATTACTTCGTGAAATGGTAATTTCATGCGAACATACTTTTCTTTCACACGTGGTCTCGGTCAACGGGTAACGTCTCATGCCACTGCACTAGCGTTAAGCAATTAAGTAGATAACGCTGTAGGAGTGCTGCTGTATTCCCGTCGGAAAGTAGTGGTTCTATACGGGAATATACCTTTAATCGGTAATGGGCAGAGACCTGGCAATTACTGAGGTTGCACTATTGCTATTATTATAATTATTTAAGAAAAAGATGTTTTATTATAGATCATTTATTTTAAATAGTAAGTTTGATAATGGGCGAGTCATGCTCGACACCAAACTTCCAGATCGAATTTTAAATTCCAAAATCAGAAGACGAACTAAGGTCCACGACAAAGGAGATCGGATAGCGAATTTTAAATGGAGCTGGGCAGAACATATTGTGAGACGTGGACAAAACAGATGGAGTAAAGCGATAACCGAATGTTGGCCAAGAAATGGTTATAGAAACGTGAGACGTACTGTAGCGAGATGGGTAGAAGACATGCGTAGTTGTTGTTGTAGTTCAAAAGTTGCGGGTCGTAGATGGTGAGACTAGCACAGAATGGCACTAACTACGGGTGGCACTTATCTAGCAGTGTGTGATTCTGTGGATGATGATGATGATGAGATCACTTTTTGTCGTTATACACAATACTGGCGTGTCTGGTTACTGGTTCGAAATCAGGACAACAATGAGTAATTGTTGACCTACGCCTACTCCTACACTATGTAGTTTTTTCTATTTCTAACAACAATGTTATATAATTTCCGAACATCGAATATTTAACCAGAAATAGAGACGAAATGTAATTTAATTTGTTTGAAAACTATTCTTCCAAATTATTACTGTGACAACAGGGCTCCGATTGGCCAGCCCGAATTCGAAACAATTGACTTAATGTTTGAAGCCGTATTTTTCGGTTAGTTTGTATGCGAGGTCAATCATAACCATTTACTTTTACAGAGTATTTATCTAAGTTTCTTATTTTAGAATAAAAGAATGGCAAACGTAAAAGCAATGTTAACTTTTTTTATACGCAAAAATGGCTATATTTCCAAACCTGTACGTAAATATGGTCATACAAATGGCCATAATTACTGTATGGCAAATATTACTCTATTCTATTATAATATAATACACTTTTGCGGTTCTATGTATAATAATGGAAACAATCAACACTGACATAAAAATAGACCCTTCATAAATGTGGTCATGAAAGGGGCCATATTTTTTACCCTGTTAGTAAATGTGCCCATGGCCTAATTAACTACATATATGGAACACTTTACTCTTCTATAATTTAAAATTATATCATTATTTATATAGCATACAATTTTATGGAAAATGAATAAAAATACGTAACGAATTGAGATATACTCTAATTTCTTGCCACACTCAGTCCCCCGGATCCTTTTACAATTGTGGCGACCCATGACTTACAACAAATAAAACAAAGTTACTATTCAACATAAACGTCTGCGCTAGTTTTTACCAAACGTAGCCAAAAACTATCGCTTTCACGCAAATCAAACTACACTGAAATCAGATCATCCCTTACTACAGAGTTACCACAGATTTAAGTAGACAGATACACTATAGCCCCAAACTTATATCATCCTTCTCTAGTTGTTAAAAACAACATTATGCTAGATTCCGAAAATCATAAGGCAAATTTGGCCAATATCAGGTGCAGGTAAATATGGCCAGTCACTGTGCCAGTGACACTTCTGCGAAAGAAGGAGGGAGAGGGGAGGCGTGAGAGTCGCAGTTATTTATTAGCTATATATATATATATATATATATATATTAGCTTGTTAGTTTTGTACGCTACACATTTTTAGAGATACCGGTATGTGGCCATATTAATCGGCTGGCCATATTCGACCCAGGTACTTTATTTAATTTCCAATGAAATGTGATTCTGTTTTATTATTGTAATTAGACCTTTTGCTGTTTTTTTCACACCACCGAATGGAACAGCCCCCATTGTTAGAGATATTATCTTTATTAGGTACAATAAATACAGAATATTTTTGGAATATACGGAGACGTACACGCAAGTCAGTCGTTGGTGGTGTACTATTTCAATTTTCTAATTTGTGATTTCAGCGCAACCGAGAGTTGATGTTTACAAGTAATACAAGGCCCATTTGCCAGATAAGTTGCCAGCGGACGGATGGCCCTTATGTCGTCTCTATTTCTGATTATATACTCGATGTTTCCGAACAACTGTTTGAAATTTTCACATTATTTGAAATGACATTGTAAAGACAATGACAAGAAAATTAACCCTAATGCTTGGGTATAAATAAGTAAGACAAATGACGTGGATATGAATTCTTACCTCGTATGGCGAATCTGCAAGGTCAGCACACAACACTTATTTTGGCATGACGTCACGGGGATACTTCATATTATGCCGACCCCGTTTAATGTTAATAGACATTAGGAGACTTTTCTGTAGTCGATATTTCTGTAATTTCTATATTTATCATGAAAGTAAAAAATTGCCATTTCACCGCTACTTCCGAAAAGTATTTTAATAAAATACACTTAATCAACTCACTTCCTAATCCTACGGTACACATACGAGACAACCTGTTTGTTTACTTTTACATCCTGGACTAACTCTATTCCAACTGCAGCATTTTTTTAACTCATTTTTATTTTAATGAAATATTATTAGCTTCTTTTTTAATTACTTACTATGTGTCAATACAATTAAAATTAATTCACTTCCTGTCTACGTACGTCTTGATCACTCTATATTTAAATTAAGAATGTTAATTTTTATGCGACTGATTTTTATAAAAATTCTTTAATTCTCAGTCAGCAGTGACCATGAGACCTGTAAAGAGCTCGAAATACTGGTTTGCTTGAAAAAACAAATAGTTTCATTTCTTACGTATAACAATCGCGAAAACCTAAGAACTCGAAACATTCTTTAACTTGTTTTTTTTTGTACAGTAGCTAGATACATACCTCGCAGAGTAGGGGTGACCGGGGCTGGTAGTTCCCGGGGTAAGTTGTTCTCACAGCAATAACTTTGCAAGGAAAATTTGTAACAATACATGTGAAGCGCGTCGTTAAAGCGTCAGTGATGCGTTTTGTCGGCAGCCATTTCAGTTACTCCGGCGACGACGTGTGGCTATGTGCGTGGAGCTGTCAAAATATCACGTAAGTAAATTTTTTCTAGTTTAAATTTTTTGGTCTGTCTTTGTTTATTATGGGCCGATTCATACTTTTCTAAATTGTAGTGACAATACTAAGGAATCTTATTGTTTGAGTATTTTTTTGATTAATTTTACTACTTCGGCGGTATGTCAGTCTTCGTATAAAAACGTAATTTGGGGCTATAAGTTTCTTTCTTGATGGGCTGGTTGTTCCTAGGAACAACTTCCCCAATTGACCTACAATCATACTTAAAATTTTATGACCATTTTCTTTGTTTTAAGGATGCCAAAATACAAACGGGCTCATGTCCAATATTTAGACAAGACGATAGAGTCATTTATATGTGCCTCAATTGTGATTCAGATGAAGAAATGAGCGATTAATAATATTACTGATGAATAAGAATGTAGTTTTTTATAAGTTAGTTGTGCATAATATAAACATTACATGTATACAATTATAAAATAGTTGGTTTTATTTAAGAAAATCTTTGTTATTCTGTCATAATCTAGCCGGAACAATTTGCCTCAAAGGCGGAACAACGCGATATTTGTCAAAAATTAGCCTCTACGAAAAAGACTATTGAGATATTACGAGTAGTAGAAGTGACTATACTATTACAAAAAGCGATAAATATTTGTTCAATATTTCCACATTTTGAAAATCAAAATGATCAAATCCTTCATTTTCAGTATAAAACTGCGAGTTATTTGAAAATCGGAACGTTCAGCCCCGCTCTCCCCTACAAATTAAAATGTAAATAAACGTGGAAAATGAATACAGAGATTGATTTAAACAATATTTCAGTATGTTTTCAAATACCTAAGAACACCTCAAGTCAATCACGCCGCCGCCGCGCCCCGCCGCTTATCGAAAATCCATCAGCCGATTTTATGATCGACTGACGTCTAGTTAAGTAGAAAAAACATGATGAAGAATTTTTAACTAAGACATGCCTCCATGCCCTAGTGTATGTGGATTACGAAAAAGTCTTTGACACCCTAGAAATCTGGGCTGTTCTGGACTCCTTGCGGAGATATTAGATTGACTGCCGTTACAAAAGGATGTTTTACTATCCACACTGAAACAAGCTTATTCCGGCGGCACTATTCGCAAATCTCAAGAACCACAGCACGATTGGATTGCACTAAAAAAGTCGTGATTGTCGATATGTCAATTGTGTAAACGTACAAACTAGACAATAGCCAAAAACAGGTCGCGCGTCTTCCGGAGAATTCGCGCTCATTCTCGGGAATCCTGCAACGACTGTCGGCGACGAATCCGCTTCCGTACCATTCCGTTTCGCAGCAATATAAATTTGAGCCTTAAATATGAGAAAGTTCAGTTGTAAGGATATTTTTGGTATCGAAATTTATTACAGCGGCACTATTTGTTTGTCAATCTCGAGAACTCAGATCACACGTTCAATCTGATTGACGTCGGTTTTACTCGCAAAATTGTTGAGTTATTCGCTGTACGTTGTCCAAGATTGAAATAACTTCACTGATAGGTACCATATACAGAAACGTAGAAATCATATAACGAAAAATGTGTATGCGAGGCCAGCTTTCCAATTGTTTTTTGTGAGATCACTCAGGACTTCATACTCGCAAATATTATTTATGTTATCAGTAGAGCTCTTTGTGAAAGAATTTGTCCAGGGAAGTATTGCTACCTTACCTATTTCTGCCACCAAGTAGTAATGTCAACATTACTGTGTTTCCGGTTTTGAAGGGTAGGGGTGCTGGTGCATGGGACTTATCTACTTGTCTCAGGGTGACGGGCGCAGTAGCAGTACCCCTCAGATCTTTGCGATTTAAAGCTCTGAGTGGCACTGCAACTGTTATGGACGGGCGTGTAGCTTATCACCAGGCACACGTCATGCTCGTCCCGTCACTTGATATTATAAAAAAATTTAAAAAACATAATATTCCAGTGCGGACAATACGATATCATTGTAACTTTGACACGGCGAAGCGACTAAATATACTTTTAGAAGCACCACACTAGGGAAACCCTGTATCGCGGACACCGTAGACACACACATAGACAACCACAAACACACCACATTTAAAAAAAAAGACTAAGAAAAGTTCGTGAAATTATTGCACATCTATTTGCCTTGAAATCGGTTACCGGACAGCACGCGAAACCGTATTCATTCTCTAATTTACCCTTAGAGATGGAATATTTTCTACAAATTTAAAGGAACCAATAGTGAGGTACCCTCTTTCCAACAAAAAAAAGAATCATCAAAATCGGTTCACAAATGCCGGGAGTAATCACGGAACACACACAAAAAAAGTCAAATTGAGAATCTACTCCTTTTTTCAAGTCGGTTAATAAATGTGGGAAATACAAATATTTCTCCCGGCCTGGAAATCAAACCCGGGACCTCGGCGTGGCAGACCAGCATGGTAGTCGTTCGAACCACTGACAGACTAAATGACGACTTTGTACCAGACTACAAATTTTTTCACACATTCAAGTGCTCGATTATGGTCACGCAGGAATAAGCTACACAAATTAAAGCTAATAAAACAGAATTCTTGTCTATGATTGAATATTCATCATTCTCTCCATATATTTTTTTATTCAGCAGTAGAACTACAAGGGTAATGAACAATGAAAAAATATGATTTTCATAATAGATCATTTATTAATTTTCCACAAGACGACACATGATTAAAGGCCTGTTCAGATAAGCGATATTCGCTACTGCTGTGGGTTAGCGACAAATACCGCTCGGTATCTCGCCGGGCATTTATTTGTATGAAGTTCCGCGGCTAGAGCGAAACCGGAATATCGCGTCACACCGCCCAGGTAGGCGGTATCTTTTCGCTTTTGCTTTGCGAAACAGGTTTCGCCACACGCCACGGGGAGGCAAATTCATCCCTCTGCACAGCCCACAAATCAGTAGTTGACATAATAATAAATGGCATTGAATAAGGTTACGGCTTAGGTGTGAACTGTGGGAATACCGCGTACCCACTCGAGTATCGCTACTCACAACGGTAGCGAATAACGCGTAAATCTGACCAGGCCTTAAGATTTAAATTTACACAATTTTGTGCTTACTATCAAAATAAATAGGCTACGAGAATCGTGCAATATAAGTCTATAAGGAAATAATTTTAATTATGTATTTACAATGTACTTATTAACATTATATAGGTATATTATAAATAATTTTGATCAATATATTTGTTAGGTACGTCTATAATCAAGCACATGCAATTTCGGTGCGGAAAATAACTAGCGCTCCGCGAAGTACCTCCAGGGTACGGGAAGACGATAAAAAGAAGGTACGAAGTTGTAGTACTGACCTTTAGGTCACTATCACAACTTTGCACCTCTTATGCCTCTAAATTCTTGTTGAAGCGGACGAGTTTGCGTCCACATGAGAGGCCAATTTCCTGACATGCATGTTTTGCTCTGCAAGCGTATCTGTAGTGGAATATTCTATGGTATTTTTGCCAACAATCTATGTCACCCAACGGAACTCGTGTCCAATTATTAGGCAACATATTTAGATGCTCCTACGGAGTCGATACGCGTACAAAACAAAATGCGCGTCACACAAAAGAGGTGTTACTCTAACCGAATAAAGCGTACTCAGTGTACTCATTTACCTTACCGCTAAAAGTATACTTGCATTAATATTAAAATTCTACGTTAATTTAATGTATTTAAAGATATCAATTGCTAAATAATTTATCGGATACACTTTAACAAGTGTTCTCTCGGAAAAGCGAAATCCTATTTGCATTTATGCCTTAGAGTCTAAGGCTTGCAAACAGACAAATGTTTTATCAACCAACAAAAACCAAACAAGTTTGTGCCAATATCGTTTGTGCTCTCGTATTGATTATTTTAATATTTATAACAATTAAATACTCTATGGTATCTGCGATTTATTTTACTGTAATATCAATCTATTTTCTATGCAATGACAACTGTAATTTATACACAATTAAGATCTATTTCAAAACTGACAACTTAATACGGACCCCTCACCAATTTGCGGAATATTTTGCTGTATCTTCTACGGACATGTTCTCTGACTATAAATATCATTCAAATTAAGTCAAAATCTGTCACTAGCGCCTCCATTGTAGATTCCACATTGAACTAGTCAGCTTAAATACACAAGATGTAACAAAGATATATGCGCTACAAAAGGGTCTGCCAAAGAATTATTATTATGTTTACTTCACAAAAAAAATTTCCTACTTTCTAATCAAATAAATACAATAAATAGCTGCTATGCTTGCATATATACGTATTCGAAAAAATTGTTAGTGTCTTAGACACTTTCACATCACAAACTACTACATCATTCTGTTATAATTATAACCTTTATAAATTACAATGGTAATATATACGTTAAACATGCGTTTTAAAATTAGACACTGAACATAATTGTTAATTAGACAATGCGCATACAATAAATGTCTTTATCATCCGATTGACGTTTGAATATCTGGACTCCAATGCCAAAACCTGAAAAGAAAGAGAAAATATGGAAACATGAAAAAACAGGCAAATGTCGTCAAGGACGTGAACGATTTTCGAAGTGGTGGACTCAAGATGGCGGCCAATGTTGCTCCGATCATGAGCTCACAATGTACGTATGTGTCACTGAGATGTAAAATAATAACACCTACTTACAGTGCACAAACGCGTCGGTGCTTGGGTGCCACGACTTACAGACGTGGCGCCCCCGCGGCAAGGTCCACAGCCAGGACCGCCGCGGGGGCGGCGCCCCCTCAGCTACGTCTGTGGCGGCCTCCACGGCGACGACGCTCGCGCCTTACCTGGGAGGACGTTGAAAAACAAATCAAAGAAAGTGAAACAATCACACACAATCCCTAGCCTGAAACTTGTACACGTTTACTTGAATTTGTTTTCACGTCTAAATGCTCATGTAGCCTTCCGCCTACATGAGCATTATCTTCTTATAATGCTATGCAGTTATCTATACCACAGCAAACGTTGAAGGATCATAGTACAGCCTTTACAAAGAACTAATACAATAAATAGATGTATATAATTCATAAACAAAATTTGATCATTATTTTGATCATTATTTTGATCATAATAAAGTATTTAATAAATAGTTACGGAGCTCTGGTCAGCATCAGCCCATCTCTCATAGGCACGCTCACGCTTTAGCCACTCCTGGTACTTGTACCACCACTCTTCCCATTTCACGTAATCGCCTAAGGTTAAACCTGCAAACGGATGAGATTGAACACTTATTGCAAAAGGATATTCGATTCTACAATGTAGTGTAAGTGTATTAACAAGATTCGATATGGTCATCACACACGGAAGGTTTTTTTTTGTGTTAGTGAATCTATACAGTCGCAACAGTACTGTCGTTGAGCGGTGTGACTGAGGAACGCCTTGTCCCACTTGCACACATAAATCAGATTATGGTAAAAAATAGTTGATGGGATTTGTTTACATAAAATAATGTGTATGGATGTTTTATAAATGTTTACTCACACCATGCTTAATAGATGGCTATCAAATTCCCGTAACAAAACTCATGGTCTACAACTCTACAGTCACTCACTCAAAACAAATTTAGTGGGACATATGTATGCAGAATCTCCCATAATATACTGGACCTTGGATTGCAACCTGTGCTAATTCAATAGCCATTTTCCGTTAATGCAAGGCGACCCAAAGAAGTTCGCCAAGTTAAGACAGCGAACTTGAGACATTAAATCTTACCTCTTAGATACCCCCTCTTTTTATAATAGTCGTATCTGACTCTAACATCATCCCAAGACGGTAATCCGCCCGGTGCTACAGCCAGTAGTTCTTCTGGGTAACTGCCGACAGGTGCTGCTTCCAAACCGCTAGAACAAAACAAATGTTGTGTAGTTGACACTTAAAACAAAATAAGCTAATTACTAAAAATGTACTGCGTCCTGAAAACTACTTTAACAATGAATATCTAAACACTGGAACTTTTTTAAGTACAAGAGACTTATAATATATTTTCTTGTTGGGGTAGGTTTAAATTACTTGTGTATTCCCTAATATACAATAAAAATAATGGTATAACGTCTACACACCGAATATCAAGACAATAGTTGCATAAAGATTTAAAAAATACAAAGACAGAAATGCATTACTAAAAGTTTCTAAGAAAACCTTACGTTTTTTGGTTTGCGTACATATCTGGTGAATGCGCCTGTTTGCGAAAGGCGCAACAGGCGAACTTGACATCGTGGTGCCATTTGTTGGCGATACATATAGTAGCATGTATTTAACTGCACGCATGCAGCGCGTGTGCAGCGCACAAGCAGCACGTTCACGGCGCACTCGCCAGATCTGTACGCACCCTAAGCAGGAGTCGCAATCTATACATTACTAGATAATTATTACTTCATAGTAAAAAAATCTGAGTGTGGTCCGTTGGGTCATCGTACCAAATAGACTATAAAAAGCCACTCACGGGTACTCCATAGTCGGTGGCGATTCCCTCTCATTGCTGTCGATGTGTACATGCAGCGTCGCGTCACGTCGCGTTATGCGCATGTTCTCCAGACGGGCTGACCGGTCAGCTGACCACTGGGCCATCTTACCGAAGCGTTCGGAAAGGGTTAACCTGAGAACAAAGTAATTAAATATACAGGCTGTATATTTGAAAGTGGGACATACTTATAGAGTGCGTTATATTCCTGGTTTTGAACCCAAACAAACGTGTTGCGTGAGAGGATTATCTCAGCATTTTATACTGTGAGACAAAATGTGTTTGTGTTATACAAATTAAAACAAAATTTACTATGCCGTACTAGACTATGCATTGTGGAAAACGGTGGACATTTTGAACACTTGTTCCGTAACACGTAAGTGTAAATAAACTGTAGTGTTCTTATTAAATGATAACTACTTACTAAACCATACACTTATCTTTTTTAGTACGTAAAACATTTCGATGATAGTTCAACTAAAAATAATTAACATAAGCTAAAACGTAAGTGTGAAATCATTGTTATTGTTGCTGTCTCACTCGGCACTCGCTTGGTAGTATTCCCATTGCACTCGAAATCAAGCGTAAAGGGAAACGGTTTATTCCTATGTACACTTCAAAACACGTTTGTTGATTTATTTTTTGTTCTATCCCATATCCTAATTTTATTTTAGTTTATGTTAAGTTGTAACATGATTTACTATGACATGTATGAATATGTCTCACTTTCAAATATACAGCCTGTATAATCAGCAGTAAATCAGTGTTTTTTAAAATAAATGTCTAGATTCATTAAAAAAAAGTGTATCAACACTAACCTTTGTGGTGCCGGTTCTGAGCTCGTATCACTCTCACTATCACTGCCGCTATCGTTCAACGCCGCAGCAATGGCTCCAGGGGAGACACCCCTCTCCTCCCTGCGAGGCCTTGGAGGAGCAGATTGAGCGGGACGGCGCTCGCCCTCTCGTTTGATGTTGGTTGTAGGTATCGGTGCCGCGGGAGCACGGTTTGCAGCTATTTGGGAGCGTTGCCATTCCAAGACCTAGGTAAAAATTACTTTGTATTGCAAATATCTATCTACTTCAAGCGAAATTAATTGACCATCATTTGCACCATACGCAAATACTGGAGGTTTCAAACTAGCTCATGTGCAAACTTAAATGAAATCTATTCCTTAACATGAAAACCCTACCTTCTCTTCCCGTGACCGTTTGCTAGCTTCCCTGGCCTTCAATAACTCCCTTGTAGGTTGAACAGCACGCGTAGATGAAGGAGGCGGGAGGCGCTTGCTCGGCGCTACTGCTGGCGCTCTAATTAAAAAAAATGTTTCAAACGATATTCTAGTCCATAATTTCCCAAAATGATCCCTACCTGGGTGGCCCCAGTGGGCGCTAAAGACTCCTGTGGTGGCGGTAGGAGCCATTGCAGGAAGCAAAGATGCTGTCGTGAGGATGCTACCGCATTTGAAATAAAACCTGATTTAACTATATACTACACTAACCATATACAATTTTTTTCTTATTTTTATTATATTGCCTAATTGTGTGGTGAACCAAAAAGTTTGGTAACCTATGTTCTAGTCCATTGTCTAAGAACGGGGGATTTTGTACGTAATAAACAATAATTTAACTATTGCTTTATGATTTTTGGTTATTTATTAATCGTACTCCACACATAATACTAAGCAATATTAATTGAAAATCGTAAAAATGCAGGTCGCATAGCAAGTCGAGTGAACACCTGTCGTTTTATGAAACATTGAACAATTAAATAATATGTATATATATGTGGCTTACACTTCGAAGAATGGATGTATATTAAAAATATATTTATAAAAAACAATGCCTTTCCCGTTTTAAAACTATTCATCCGAATGCGAATACAACGGCAGGCGGCGTAAATATTTTTAAAGTGTTTAAGTTTTGTGAAAGGCGTTAAAGACAAGATCACAAGTATTCAGACGTGCATCTATCAAAACCTATTTCAAGCCCGAAGATTTCTCAATTTCTGAGACCCGTAAGCCTATAAGGGGAGGAAGCAGGAGCAGGAGCAGGAGTAGGAGCTATAAACTTGATCGCGAGTACCTCAATAGCAGGCGAAACGAAGCATTTCTACCCGCGTCAAAGATCACATAGCTAATGTCAAGCACCATCGCGTAAAAAAGTCAACAGTCTGCGAAGACGTTTTGGATAAACCTACACATTCAATTAAGTTAGACAAGCCCTAGGTTTTTGCGAAAGAAGTCCGTTTTCTAATCAGAACGCTGCGAAAGATCATTGAAATTAAAATAACATACTAATTTCTACAGGTAAGATAGTTTCTCCGTAGCACCAACTAGGGATCCAATATTTATTCTGATGTAAAATCTCAAGCAAACTGCAGTACTACTCAAGAATGTCTTTTTATTTCTAATTTTCTTTTAACTAATTAACTAATTTAATTTAGCAAAAGATTGTTTTTTTTTTAAATATTTTGAAACATGTAGTGTAAAGCGGAATGTTCAATTAAAGATAAGTTATTTAATAATAACTTTTGTAACTATAATTCAGAATAGAATGGTTTACATCAATATTAAACTGGTGATGACTTTACCATCTAAGTCAGTCGTGACCGTGGGGCCTGTTAAGAGCACGAAACGTGGCTTCCTTTGACAAAACAATTAATTATACGCGCCGAAAAAATTATTTACATTTTCAGTGTGGAGCAATCGCGAAAACCAAAAAATCGGATAATTTGATATTATACCAAACAAAACTACACCCTACTCGCAAACACTATAATTATAAAAATTCAGACACTCCAATTTTACAGTATTAATAATATTGGTTTGTTATGAAAACTGCACTAAAGGAAATTCGTTAAGACTTAGTCAAATAAGCGCAGTTCTATCGAACCTTCAAGTAAATGTCATAACCAATTAAAAGAAGAAAGAAATGCATGCATGCACAAGCAGCAAAATTCAAAATTGGTAGATAAATGTATTCAAATGTTTTTAAGGTTCTTCTGATAAAAAGAATAGTTAAAATATACGTTTGATATTAGTAGTTTATTTATGTTATCATACATACTACATGTTTCATACAGAAATAGGTACGAAATACATACCTCATGTTTTATACAGATACTCATTGTATTTTAATCAGTCGTTTTTTAAAATACCTTAATTCTCTCTTTTAACTCAGTAGAAATTTGTTTTTCTGATCACGGATATGTGTGTAACTCAATTTTCATAAAAATGTTAGTTGTGCCCTTTTTCGTTCCATGGGCAGAATAGGAATGTGTGTGTGCGTAGAGACATAAGTAATAGAAGTTGCTCACCCGGGTTTATTTGGTTTCGGCGGCGCAGGTGCCTTGGTACTGTTAGATAAGCATAAAAAGCATTTAGATTTATAGTTTACAACAAACAGTTTACTATATTTACAATGGAAGAATGGTTGCTTTCCAATTGTGAAGTTGACAGTTCGAATCCTATGCCTATGCGGCAGGCACCTCGGACTTTCATTTGCGAGTTACGTGCATTTGTGAATAGTTAGTAGGTAATACCTCTCACTAATGGAGAAGAAAAACATTTTGATGAAACCTGCATGTCGAAGGTTCCTGGGAAAACGTGTAAGTCCCCAACCCGCAATGGGCCTGGGTGACTATGATTTACACCATCTCCTAGAAGATCCGTGACCCGATTTAACGTGATGATGACAATATGTTAGTACAGGCACACTAACAACTTCAATAGTTTGTACTGTTTTGGTGAAATTACAGGCACATGGGACTTGAACTTATGTCTCAGGGTGACGGGCGCAGTGGCAGTGCCCCTCAAATCTTTGCGATTTAAAGCTCTAAGTGGCACTGCAACTGTTATGGACAAGCGTGTAGCTTACCTTCAGGCGCACGACTTGTTCGTCCCGTCACTTGATATTATAAAAAAGAAAAAATGCCTCTGCCTATTTCAGCCGCCAAGTAGTAATGTCAGCATTACTGTGTTCAGGTTTTGAAGGGTAAGGGAGCTGGTGAAGTTACAGTCGTAGGACTTGTCAATTTAGTCGTCTCAGGGTGCTGAGTGGTAGTGCCCCTCAGATCTTTGCGATTTAAAGCTCTGTTGTTATGAACAGACGTGTAGCTTACCATCAATAGCACGACTTGTTCATCCGGACACTTCATAAAATACTTATGGTCGAAATTTTATCGGAACAATCATAACAATATGGCCTGACGCCTGAACACCAGCTTTGGTATGACATAATTAACTTTACATATGTATCCAACAATGTAAAAGCAACCCCAATGCAAATGTTACAATGTACTCACCCCGGTTTCGGCTTGGGAGGCGGACGCGAAGGTTTCTTGTTCTTGGCAGAGCATACTGAGCATGACTCATCCGAACAACTGCTCAAAGAAGATCCGGTCGGCGACGACTGTCCAAGATCACAATATATAGTTTATAGGTTATAGTTTGTATTGTACTTGGTACTTGGTATTGTAATATAATATGGCATAATATAATTTAATGTACTCAATACAAATAGAATAAATAATGTAATAATAATATTGAAAATTCGATAATTTTGGCTACACTGTTGTATTAGGTTAGTCCTTAACTGCTAGCTTGTGTACGTAAAACACACGACTATAGTCCATTTTACAGAGGATGGGTACTGTGACATTTCAAATTATTATTTTATTTTATTTTTAACTAATCTCTCAACCAGCTTACAAAAAAAATTAGTAAATTTGTTATAATATATCAAAAACAAACAATATTTGTAGGAGTTGTAATTTTTATTATTATTTATGTTTATTCCCAATAGTTACATGTACTCAGTTCCATGTGGAACAATTGTAATCTTAACATGTCATAATTATTATCATTAGTTCCATGTAATTTTAAACTATTTTTACATATGACTTTTCTTTTAAGTAATAATTACAGAATATTAAGGGGATAGAAACAGAAATATTAAAAATAAAAATAAATTACCCGAACTCCTTGATCCGTTAAACGGAATATTTTTCCATAGATGTTGAGACCATAGGATCGATGAAACGAATCAACTATTCTTTATATATTCGTTAAGTGAGCGTCACCTCGCCACAATTTTATATTAAGAAGCGTTCGACACTACAAAAGTTTATCCCAACAGCTAAGACACTGTTCTGAGTACCTTGAATGACGTTACCTTCCTAGTAGGTGGCGAGGGAGGCCTGTTCGGCCTGGATGGCGGCGGCGGACGAGGGCGAACCCTAGCGCGTGGCGATTCGCGACGCGGGGGAGGAGAACGGGGCCGCGATGACCGACGCTGTACACTGCGTCCAACAGGACTGCGCCTGGAAGATATTGTTACATGTAACCCTAGGGAGCATTTCCTATTTCTAGTACTCTTTATGTCCACTTGCAACTTAAGTACATCCCAAACCAATGCTTAAATTGATGAAACACTCTTAACACAATGTATTAACAGCATCTCTTGCATTGCAAGCATTGGTTTAGGACGTAATTAAGAGTAGTGAAAGCAGACATCAGTCTTATAAATAAATACTAACCTAGGTGGGCTACGTCTAGGTCCCCCTTTATCCACACGACGTAGTGAGCGACTGCGAGAACGACGTAATACAGGAGAACGCGACCGACGGCCTATTGGTGACCGTGATCGACGACCGACAGGAGACCGAGACCGACGTGCAATTGGTGACCTATAATAAAAGAATAATGCTGGGTTAAAATTAATATAGTACGAAAAATAAACAATGACTTAAAATATTAACCCAAAGATGTAAATTGTATTTTTTTTTAATCCTGACAAAAACTGCTTGTCATGTACGAGAAATTAGGTTTTTTGGCTAAAAATATGACTTGAATGTTAATCTTGGGTATCAAATAAGATGCACTCATACCTGGATCGTCTTTGAGGCGGCGAGCGTGATCGCCGTGGTGATGCCGATCCTGCGCCGTCTACGTATAACTGCTTGTAGCCTGTGTGACGCCACCTGCAAAATGTTTATGAATTTAACTGACATAAGATGGGTCCTCATTGACGCCCGGATTTGCAGTAAGTGAGCGGGTGTATATATACGCCATTGGAACTTAGGGGGCCTTCAAATTAGTCGCTTGTAGAAGCGCTGCTGCTGCATTAAAAATCAACGAAAAAAAAACAAACTTCACGATCGTATCTAAGACCCTAGTAGCGAATGTACTATTATTATACATAGGGCGTACTATAAGTTTCCGGAACTGGCCACTTACATAAACAATATTTAAAAAGTAATTACAACATTTGAAAATGGAACTCTGGCTGTAGAATACAGTTTGTTTCATTTGACTGTCACTTGTTTTTACGTTGTGGCGTCATTTTAGGTATTGGTTGTCTATATCACCATGAACTTAATTTGTGAAAATTTTCGTAGTATGCTTTTCTACGACTTTAAGGGTCGTATTCTAGAACTCTGCTCCATGCTCAAGTCAGGATTTGAGTATGATTTAAAGCACTCGAAATCATACTCAAGTCCCTGCCATTAGAGTCGTATTTCCAGTGCCTGTGTGTGTGTTTCCAGTGCAATCCTGACTTGAGCATTGAGTAGAGTTCTAGAATACGACCCTAAGTGTAATTTAACAACTCAGCGGGGCTTCGCTCGGCTTTTAACTGCTTTTGGCGATGAAGCACCATACAAGACGACTATTTATAGCAGGTTTGCAGAATTCAAACGCGGTATCTCAGTGATGGTCGATCGTCCACTGCTGTGAACAAGAAAAACATCGATGCTGTGCGTCGTATGATTAAAACAGACAGGCATGTGACATACCATGAGATTCTGGCATCTTTAGGCATAGGCATGAGTCAAATACAATCAATTCTACACATTGGGTGTGAAAAAACTGTGCTCTCAGTGGATCCCACACAAATAGACTGAGGCTCAAAAAACGGATCGCTTCACTTAGTGCAATGCCATGTTTACCAGATTCAACGAAGGGGCATCAAATTTGGTGTGGGACAGTAACAGGTGACGAAACATGGATTTATAGTTACGATCCCGAAGCAGCAATCGAGCGTATGGGTCTTTCGAGATGAGCCGAAATCAACCAAAGTGGCGCGCGTGCAATGTGCCTCTAAACGAATGACTGCTTCTTTTTTAAATAAAACTGGACACGTTGGTACTGTTGCTTTGGGGAATCGTTGTACCGTGAATAGTGATTGGTACACGACCATTTGATTGCCGGAAGTTATTGACAAACTCCGTAAAAATAACCCTAAACGCCGTATCATCTTGCACCACGATAATGGCAGTTCTCACACGGCCAGACAGACAAATGAATTTTTGAAGGTACAACTTTGACCTTATGAGCCATCCTGACCTGGCACCTTGTGACTTTTATTTATTTAAGAACCAGTTACGCGGTCAACGATTTTCAGCACCTGAAGAGACTGTCGAAGAGTATGAAAAATATGTTGCAGAGATTGTCACGGAGGAGTGGCATGTTTTCAAAATTGGTTCTTTCTTATGAAAAAGTGCATTAACGCTAACGGAGAATATTTTGAGAAACAATAAATTCATTTCTGACCATTTATAGCATTTTTTTCTTATTCATTCCGTAAACTTATAGTGCGCCCCACGTATATACCGCGGTAGCTACGTAAATGAACACTGGAATAGCGCACAAGAAGTTCGTATTCGCATTGAACAGGCACGAAGTGCCTTCATGACAATGAAATAGATTTTGTGTTGTAGAAGGTTCAACCTTAAACTCTGCATGCGTCCGCTGTTATGTCTTCAGTATCATGCTGTTTCGTATGGAGCGCATTATGCTCAAAACTGGACTCCTTTGAGATGTGGTCCAGACGTATGCTTGGCATACCGTGGGTAAAAAAGAACACCAACGTTGAGATTCTTCGTCGAATGAGAAAAAAGTTGGAAATACTCAGAATTGTAAAGGAAAGGAAGCTGCAGTATTTTGGCCACGTACCTAATAAGGGGCAATAGATACCGGATTCTTCAACTAATAATGCAGAGAAATGTACAAAGAAAGCTTAGTCGAGGTAGCAGGAAAACTCTTGGTTGAAGAGACTGAGAGACTAGTTCCACCTTAGCACCCCTTCCCTCCTTCGTGCGGAAGCTTCAAAAATGAGAATAACCATAATGGTCGCCAGCCTTCGTAGAGAAGCGGTACACTATACTACAAATTTTCTTGGATGATCCCTGTGACACTTCACAAAATTCTACATAATATAACCTTGTAACGACGTCTACTAATTTACGTATTTTATAGACTATTTTTATAAGTCTCGTCTTAAGTGAATAACTTTTGTCTAAGCAAATACATAAAATTAAAGTAAAAGTAACACCATATTAGTGAGAAATGAGAAGAGAAACATTTTTTTTTTTCAAATATTTATTTATTTTTACGGCAACGTACAAAGGTTACTTCATTAGACTGCATTTACTAGAGATGAGGTATATCGATAAAAAGTTTTCGATAATTTAACGAATATATATATACAAAAGTCAGGGATAGTGAAAATCCGCGTATGTAGTATTGTAAAAGGCGCGTATATGTGCACCAAACCAAATTTCATAGGAGAGGAATTTAACGTTATTACTTTGTTATTTCAATGGCTCTGACTTTTATTTTTGCATAGTAAGCATTAATTTATGTTGTCTGTGGACTGATTACAATAGATTCCCCTAAATCACGCTAATTTGGTTGCTGATTATTGATTGTTCACCTATCGCTGGCGATGGCTATTGAATCGTAAACAGAGTGCATTTACATTTAATTTATTTCTTCTCCGGTACCTACTCCATAGAAATGTCGGATCGGATGTCAAAAATAAAATAAATATTATTTATATACAATTCATGGGAGTTCATTATTTTAAAAACACAATTGTTATGTTTTTTAAATCCGTAATATTATACAAGGTTGTATAAGAGAGAACCTTTGCTTCAAAAATCTATATATCGACTTTACCTCATCCCGATGAAAACGTCAAATGAAGTGTCACAGGGATCATCCTATAAAATTTATAGTATAAGAAGAAGAAGAGAAGCGCTGCAGTGGCGCGACTGTGGCGTCGCAACTGCGTTTCTAAATATTGCATGAAAATTACTAGTGGCGCTGCTGGAGCATCATTGTGGCACTTCTACAAGCGTCTAATTTGAGGGCGCACTTACTCCTGTGCTTTTTTATGATACTAACACTTTGCAGTTGGTCGATAATGGCCTTGACCCGTTTAAAAATTTAAGTAGCTGGCCTGAGGGCGTCCAAGTGGGCCTGGACCTCTGCTCAGGACGCTACTGGAGACTTAGCCAGAAGGGCGTGCTATAGGAGTGAGAAACTGCGCGAGTACACGCTGCACCTGTAAGTTGGTGGCTCTCGATAACCCTATTATAAGTGACGTACTACTACTACTTTTAGGCAGTGTGATGGGTACCTACCCGGGCAGACTTTGTTTTACTTCTATATAAAAAAGTTTCTCATCGTAATCTTTCAGACAAATATATTCTAATACACAGTAACCACTATGACCCCAGGGGATAGACCACCGAAGGCCCTGCTATCAGTAAAATAATTTGTAGTTGCAACAAGAAGTGATTAGTAAACAATATTTTTACCTGTTAGGATCCTTCTCTTCAACCTCTAACAGCTTCCTATCCCAGCTGCCTGGTGAGGCTTGACGAGCACGCTTCATTACATTATCGAGTTCTTTACGACGACCTGCTGGATTTGACGGATCTGAGAACAAAACTCAATTGTTAAAAGGTTATAATCTGACCAAGTGTAATAAAGTAAATTTTTAAAACTCATTATGTTCTGAGATTGTTCTACAAAAAATATGATGATACCAACATAGGAAAGTCAAGCCAGGAAAATACTTACTAGGACGTCTGATTTTGCCATCTGTAAAAGGAAATTCATTTCTAAACATTGTGTCTCATTTTTGTATGTAATTGCTTCAATAACACTAAACATTAGTATTGTCTCTAGCAATACTCTTAGAAAATATAAACCTATCAATCAGACTGCTCTTGCAAACTACTGAAGAGATATGGAGCATACTGTTACACAAAAGAGAAGTCACAACAACTTTGTGACAACTCTGTTTTGGCAACTATACTTACCAGTGATCCTAGAGTGCTGTGGATTTCGATCCATATGTAATCGATTTTTGGAGGCTGTCTCCGCAGCACGAGACACAGAACCGTTGCGACGCGACATCCTGTAAATATAATTAATAACATTTATTTATACAATATTAGCAAAGCGGAGATAAGAAATTTAGCTGAACAAAATCTACAAAAGCCATAACAGAACTACATTATGTTACATTGCTATGATACATTGTGACGATATGTAAAACTTAGTCATTTACAGATTAGAAAATGAAAATGTATAACGAAATATGTCTATGAGTACTAGTTAGTACTCATAGACACATCTTTAGATGTTTTTCTGGGCTATAAATTGAGAGGCTATTGGATTTTACCCGTTTTTGCTATCAAACGAGGAAAAAAATTGTTATCAATTGTCAAAATAAAACTTGTAGATTTCACAAATTAAACTGAGAAAAGTAAATTTTTTTTTGTTAAGAAACCATAATCAATGGAACAGACAAGTAAACAACTAAAATCACAAATTGTAGGAGCTTTAATTGAAACCAACTTTTCAAGCATCCAATCAGCACTAAAATGCTTAAGCAACAGAACAGAACAATAAGAATGACAAATGACACCCTATGGGCAGTGGTAGCGAAAGGGTGCTCTCAAAGAGGGGTACTATTTCCCTGAGCTGGTAACAGGCAACTATGGCAATACACTCTGCGACATTACACAAGTTGCACTCCAGATTGCGGAAAGATGGCGCAGAGCATATGAACTATCGGTAAACTCAACAAAGACACTAGTAATGTTTGCAAATAAAAGAATACCTAGAATACTTCCCAAGCTCTTCAGCACAGTCAGTTATCAGTCACCTTTTGGCAGTGTCATAGAATAGTATCTCTCACTCCAAACAACCCTATGGCTCAACACAACAATGGTAAGTCAGTTATAGTGCGAAATTATGGTTTATTTATATAAAATAGAAATATGTGTTTCACCTCAGCAGTCCGTCTCTGATAGAAAGTGACGATAACGTATACGATGGAGCAATGTGTGTGTGAATATCCACTCTCGCCTTGACAAGGGCCAAGTTGTAGCGTAATGCTACATGCGAATCCTTGGAATATCACACAACATATGAGTGGAACCCAAGCCTAGTTTCCTGGTGATAGAAAGGGGAAGGCGAAGTAAAATCATGCAATTCCATCGCACACTCTCTGTGAAATATCCTGCAGAATACAGATAAGTAGGTAACTTTACGGCAGTATTCAAGGCTGTGCAGATTTGCCTCTACTCAATCTGAGTCACCCATAAGCCTCTTGACACACTTTTGAACTGAATCCAAGATGATCAGTAGACTAGGTACTTAGTAGAACCATTCCATAAGCGGCAGCAGCACTCAATAAATGACTATACTAGTGCTTGGTACAGCTGACGCAATTGTACTGGTGTGTCGTAACACCTCATGTTGGAAAGGATATCAAATTTCTCAGCTGCATTTTTGGCCATGCATTCTATGTGTCTGCCGAAGTTCAAACTATATGATAGGTCCATTTCAAGTAGCTAGTCACGGTCAGGTATTGGTATGTATATATCACGAAAAGCTAGAGTCAGTCAGTTAAATTTCAAAAGATTTGCATTGCCCCAATCAAGGACTGCCCTAAGTGTTAAATTCTTCTCCACTGACCCTTGCATTTGTCAAGTTCCTATCTACAACTGTCCTGTCATCAGCATACCCTAAGGTACCTGGAATTAAAATATTCTTCATATACAGCAAATAGAGAGCTGTGGAGTGTACGGAACCCTGAGGAACTCTATCCAATCTTACGCCCAATGTTCAAATAGTAGCCATCTAAGACTACTCAAATGGAACACTCAATCAATAAATCTGGGATCCAATTGCAAAAGACACTGGAAAGAGGAGGAAAGAAGAAGAAAAGAAAAAGTGAAAAACAAGAGGGAAACTTGTTTAACAGGCTTGCATGCTGGACCCTATCAAAGGTTTTAAAAATGCCCAAAGACACAAATAGCGCTTTGCCTTGCTCTTCTATAGCCTTGCTCCTTATGTGAGAGCCATACGCAAGAAGATTATATTAGTATAGAATCTTCTTGCATATTATAATAAATAAATAAATAACGCACACACTCTACATAGCCCCACATTAGGGAAACCCTGGGTCGCGGGTGCCATGGACACACACATAGACAACCACAAATTACACCCAAACTCACGAGAAAAATAAATGAAGGCTATACAAATATTTCTCCTGGCCCGGGAATCAAACCCAGGACCTCTACATGGCTGTCGGCTACAGAGGTAGTTTATATATTACTATATATTATAATACAAAGTGGCAATCATTGAGAAGGTTATTGAGACGGTAGTTAAGTACACATTCCATAGTCTACTAAGGGTCGTATTCTAGAACTCTACTCAATGGTCAAGTCAGGATTTCAGTATGGTTTAAGTACTCGAAATCATACTCAAGTCCTTGCCATTAGCGCCGTATTTCCAGTGCTTGAAATCATACTCAAGTCTGCTCAAATCCTAACATGAGCATTGAGTAGAGTTCTGGAATACGACCCTAAGTACAGAAGTGACTGGTATAGGTTCTCAGCAGTTTCCTTTTTTTAGCACAGGTTACACATTTAAGCTTACACAACCTGGGCACTACACCAGTCTCAAGTGAAAGGCGATATAAGGGTGTGAAAACAGAATACAAATCTGCAGGAATTCCATCTGACCCGCCACCTAACTCACAGACAAACCAAGACAACAAATCAACTTACAAACCAAGTTAATTAGTAAGTATAAGTATTCAGACACAAAAGTAATAAAACACTATAGTACATTGAAGTAAATGTTACCCATGAAAAAGATAAAATATATGACTTGATAGACTTAGCATTCTTTAACACAAAAACTTGAACCATCAAGTTTAACATTAAACTAGCCAACCTAGTTGTAGATATAGCCATAGAAAAACTTAACATAAAGGAGATATAAATAGTTGTATAGAACTATTTGCAGATTACTTCTTGGTCATGGACGTTTCAATGAACACCTGCATAGAATGTACATGACCTCCCCATTGTGCGCTTACTGTAACTACTCCAACCAATCCTTGCACCATATATTTTTCAATTGTCCACATTTTTCTATCACTAGAGTAATCCTCCTCGATAACCTTCTTGATCTATACAAAACCTCTGAAAACATCCCGCTATCTTTACAAGATCTATTTCGTAAGAAGCACTATCGAAGACATTTAATTCTTGTAATGGAATACAAGAAAGAGACTGACTACTCTCAGTCTTGGCTGTAAGGTGCATTAGTGCCTTTACCTTTTGCAATGGAAAAAACAGTACCAAAATGAGGATTTAATCAAAATTACACCAATTATGCTAACATCCACCGGAGCCATAATACAAATATGTATATGTCAGTTTTCAACTCTTGGAACAATTACGGTCAAAAATGTACATCACCAAATAAAAAGCAGTCATACTAAATACATGAAGATTTACAGTCAGAAACATACATCACCTAACAAAAAGCAATTGTACATGCAGGGTACTCAAAAGTTTGACCTAGTTCCACATGAGCTCCTGTGATTGGAGAACACTCATGATATTGTATCCCTTTCAGAAGAAACTAAAGTGTAACAATTAATAAACAATGTCACAACAATAAAATATATTTATATATATGTATACAATGTTCTGATAATTGCTTCTTGCTGAATAATTTCTTGTTGTGCATTAAACCAAGATGGTAATCCTTTTATGTGTTGTACTTTAACATTTTATTGTTGCAAAGCAAAATCAATTCCTGTAAGCAATATATTGACTTTACTGAAAGTAAAAACCTTCGTAATGACATTTTACATACAATGAAATAATTAATCAGCACACACACACATAAATAATCCCCAAAATTCAAAATAGGTCAACCAAAAATAACCAGGTGGCTGTCGATCATCAAAACATTACATCAAACCTCTGGTTTTAATGTTCTGCTCAGTGTAATCAGGGCAAAGGCGATACTGATGCTTAATAATTATAGTGATACACAAAATTAGTGAAAATTCATTCTACATCTAAAAATACACTTACACAAAATGGCTGCCAATGCATTGATTATTTACCTGAGACTCACCTAGGAGGAAAACTATAGCAGAACTTACCTCTAGAGTTCCGAAACCAGACCGAACGGAGCTAGGGCTCCGTATCGCGCGCGAGACGGCTCTGCAACGGGAACGCGGCCCCGACGCGAACGGCACGGATTCGGCGCGATGCCCAGCGGCGCCGCTGTAAGACAACCGATTTATATCATCACGGTAGCGGCGCGCGAGCACGTGTACGACGAATATACGAATGCCAGGCGAAAGGCAAAACGCGAAACGGAAATTGCCCACGAAAATCGATCATGCAGCTTCGATAAGCCGCGCGCGAACCCGAAGGCCTCACGGGACAGGCCAAACGCGACTGTCGAACACCACTTCTACTCCCAAAACTCCTTGAAACATGAGAAATCCACTGATGAAACCAATGCAGGTCTTCAAATCCAGAAGCAACTGAGAGTATGTTACATGAACATCAAACATTATTACATCACCTTAATTAATCACAAAACAAAGTTACGAACCAGCAGTTAAACACCACAACTTTTCACTGATGTTCTAAGGCGATGATGATTTCGATATAATTCGTGACAATCCTAAAGATTATAACAAATAAAAGATATAATCCATTCTTTCACATTATACCCTAGCAGCCTCGGCCATCCATTTTGTTTTGCCCACAGACTACAATGAACTACGTTGTTTTACCCTTAGACTATCCATCCTCTAAGGTTTTACCTAAGAATGCCATAGACAATGACAAAATCATTTTTTTTTTCTTTTAAATTTGTGACCTGGCTACAGAGAATTCAAAACTCTTTGATATAAATTATGTGAGGGGTATAAAAGCAAAAACGCTTCAGTCACAAAACATGTAAATTGAGATATTTAAAGTTTTCTGCTGTGAGTTAAAAATTATAGTATTAATTAAAGTTTCTGTTACTGTTTTGTGTACAGGAACTTGAAATTAATATAAATATAACTAAACTCAATCAAATTTTCACTAGTTCCACAAAAAATCTGAAATATTCTAGGACTAAGGTGTCTTTGCATTTTAACTTCGGACTTAAGCAGGTTTGCTTTTAATAGACTTGGATCGAAGCGAGTATGCATCTCACTATTTCATTTGACAACTGTCAAAATATAACAATGGTGTTGGGTACTGATGGCAAATAAAATAAGGTTTTCAAAAAATATGAATTTATTAAAATACAACTATGCTTAATTTACTTTTATACTATGTTATAATTTTAAATTGTAATATTGGAATCAGCTGGTGGTGGATCACAAGAAGCGTCATCTTCTTGGACTACGTCATCATTTGAGTTTAAAACATTTTTATAATATTCTAGTTCACGATTACTTTCCCACTGCGATCCATAATGTTTCTCTAATAACTTTCTCACATCATCGATTTTTTCTTTTTTAATCATGACATTGTTTTTTGGCACCGGCAGTGGAAAAACATCTTTAAAAGATTTACCTCTTTTCAATACAGATTTATATTGTGTAAAGTCTGATGTGTAGTGGAGTTCTCCTTTGACTTTGATCTTATTACCAAATCATTTGATAAAAAAACGCTTACTTTGTGCAAATTGAAAGTGCCATTGACCAGGCGGCTTAACAATATCATGTAAAGCACCTTTCCAGTCATAATCCATTTCCATTTTTACAACTGTTCCATAGTTACTAAAAATATCATGATACTCTTTTGGTTGTACAATGACTTCCTTTCGTTTCAACTCCCTTTCAATGTTTCCAAACACTCTATCGGCTGGTAAAAATGAATGTCCGGGTACTGGGAACACAAGTTCAATGTTTTTTATATGACCTGGAGCATTGTATAACCACACACAGCACATTCCAATAAAAATAGAATTTTTGTTTTGTGCTCCGCACCCATCAGCCACAAGTCGCAAAGTTTCAATTCCATTCAAATCTAATGCATTCAAACGATGATAAACGGAAGAAGCAATTTCATTAGCTCCTTTCTTGTATTCATTTTCATTCCAAGTATACAAATTGACCGTATCTCTATTCAGTTTCTTTCCTTCTACTGCTAAAACTACTGCAAAATTATAGATATAGAGTTGTCTACTGTAGTATGTAATTTGGTCTGGTATTTTAGGGAGAACTTGATTTTTCTGGCAGTCAAATGATAATGTTAACATACCATCTTGTCTTTCATTTAATAGTTCGTAAAACTTTTTAGCTTTGCGTTTGTGAATGGTCTTTTCAATCATATATTTGGATTTATCGGATTGTCTTTTTTCATTTTTAATTTGTTCATTCAATTCTGTACACTTTGAACACACATCTGTCCTTGGATTGCCAAACCCAATATTGTATTGAGTGTTAAAAATTCTTCGAAAATAGCACTGCTTGACTGGATTCTCAGCTTGTTCATTAAACATTCGCCACATTTTTTTAACATTTAATGCCGAATCCAGATATTTTCTTTCCGTACTAGATCGACAGTAGTGAGATTCTATGCACTTAAAAGACTCTATAAAAGCTTTAACTTCTTGCAGTTTGTGAACATTTTTATGAGATGTGTGATCGCCACCTCTATTCTCTTTCACAAGACCTCCAGTTTTTCTGAACACTTCTGCAACTCTACGGATTCTATTACGCGGTATTTGCAGTATGTCCAAAAACGATGCTTGACAAACGTGCAGCAAAGCAGTGGAAGTCCGTTTTTTTATGAATAGTTTAGTTGAATAATTTGCGTGGCGTCCACCTTGTGATCCTGTTCCTGGTCGACGACGTTGAACATCAGTAATATGACAGAATTTTAGTAGAAAAGCATCTTGAGCATGTTTAGTTTTGTTAGCATAGAAGGCGTCATGAAATCTTTTAGCATCAGCCAGCGTTACATTTTTGCACTCGTAAATAGCTTTTTTATTGTGTTGGCATGCAGGTAATTGTGGAAGATTCTTAGCAGAATACCTTAAGCAAAAAAAAAACCGTTACCAAGAGCCAAATTGAAAACAAAGTATAATAACATGTTTTTTTTTTCAAAATAAATTACATTGACCTTTATAGCAAAAGAAGAAATTTAAAACATTATTGAAAATAAATTTTAATGATGCAATTAATAAAAATAGCATTAAACTCATTGTTGAATATTGCTGCACACCATACCAAAACGTGCGAAATATTAGTGAACTTTATAATACCTTTCTGCCTTTTCCTGTACACGCCGCCATCGACTTTCATTTCTAACACGTTTTCTAGCTTGTCCTGGACGGGCAGGTTGAATGTTTTCTTCCATAATAATAAAATACAACAACAAAAACACAAAAATATCGGACACTGTTCACACGCAACTTACTATGAAAAGTAACAGATTCGCCATCTTAGAAATTTTGAAATGGTGGGTTCTGATTGGTCGAATTTGATCGAGGCGGATTTGCTTTGAACACATTTTGGATCGAAGCTGTTTTGCACGCGATTGGTACTTTTGAAGTGCTTTTTGTATTATATTGAGGCGAATTTGCACTTTCACGTTTAAATAAGAAAACTCTGGCTTTTGAGCTCTACAATTTAGTGTGACTAGTTTAAAAAATGAAAATATTGGACTGAAGCGGCTTTGCTTTTATACCCCTCATGTAATTGTCGTCTGCGATTTCATCTTATATCTCCCTAGAATAAGACGAGAACCATACGGGAGCTTAGACCATACAACCAACGGGAGACGCTTTATCCACTTGTACGCTCAGGCGCGAGCTTACGTCGTTACGCCACGTTCACCATTTTTTTGTTGTTTACATTAGGAGCCGCGTTATGGCGCGTGTAATATAAACTCTTGAAACTCGAGAACCAATTAAGCTACGGCAAAAAAATAACATGAGCGATAAGAGCACATAGGTAGCTTTTATTTAGACTACAGTTATGATTGTAATACGACGACTTTATTTGCTAACTTCCGAGTACTCTGAATACTTCTGAGAAATTTTCATAGTGTTTTACGATTTAATGCTTAACCACTATGAATATTCATTTTATCTATAAAACAAAACATATTTAGAGGTGACGAGCATTTAAATACCTATCGATTAACACTAGAATCATATGAAAATACTTTTTTACTATTTTTAAAACGAATTAAAAACAATCGCGGGTAGTGGCGGTATTCGCGGAAAATTTGCGAAAATGGTGTGAATAAACTACAGGTTGCGAGGAAGAAAATCTTAGAGTAGGTATGGAATTTTTTTTTCCATCCTTTAAGTAGAAAATTTACGAATCCTATCAAAATTCAGAATGTAACGACCTAAAAAAGGTTTTATTAATACAACCTATACTGAATAAAGTTAAGTGTTTGAGCATTGACTTTTTATTTGTAAGTGTTTGAGTGATATTTTACACGAAAGTCTTATATAAATGAATAAGTATTTTTTTCTAAAAAACAATCACAAGGTGTAATGACCTTCACTTTGATGATCTTTTTTTCCAATAAGATTGTGATTCCAATATGATATCAAAAGTTAAAGTTTTAACACCTTCAGAAAAAGCACATCCTGACGATCATTTTGATAGGTAATAATTGCAAAAATAAATAGTAATGGCATTCATTACAGTCGAAATCTTCAGCTAACACCTTATAGGATGGAAAAAAATAATCTAAGGCTAACACTCAACGCTTATAGGATAGTCTATGGGTCGTATTCCAGAACTGTACTCAATGCTCAAGTTAGGATTTGAGCAGACTAGAGTACGATTTCAAGCACTGGAAATACGATCCTAATGGCCAGGACTTGAGTATGATTTCTAGTGCTTTGAACCATACTTTTTATTTTTTATTATTTCAAGGGGAGTTTTTATTCCAGTACATTACTCAAGCGTAGTCTGTAATCGGTGTTCACCTGAGTAATGTCAGAGGAAGTGACAGCTTGCGTCTAAATTTTAGAACAATGCTTGAGATTCGTTTCAGTTTTACTGTTTCCTAAACAGTACTCAACTGTAAAATCTTGTCTTGAGTGTTGTCAAAATCTGTATTTACTTGAGTCAAGTCCGTGAGTAAATAATAATCGGCGAAAAAATTACAAGATTACGATGAATCCATTTGAGAGTTTTAATCTTTATCAAAATATATCAATGACAAATACCATACTCAATTGCTTCAGATGTTGAAAGACCTACAAGATCCGTACGACATGGAAGATTTGGTAAACAAATTAATTTAATCTATCATAGCAGATGAGTGAAATCAGACAGCAGTGGTTACCCAATCGCACCTGAAACACAGATTCTGGTTTGCCTATATTTGTATG